TTACATGGGGAAAAAAACCATGACAGTTTTTTTGGATGGCAGTGCAAAGTTTAATTCAATCTGGAGGAGTCAGCACTTTGTGTCTTGGTACAGATGTACAGATAGAGACGTCTACAGGGTTTAAGGAGCATTTAGGGGCAGCTAAGGCCACAGATTGTAAGAAAACTTTGAAAAAAGGTCTGTGACAAATGCTGTTAAACTAGATTTTTTTTTTTAACCATTTGCTTCCTTGTTGTCCTTTTGCTAGTAACTCAGCAAAATATTGTCAGGGCCATAATCTCTATGCAGTTTCAAAATAGCCATTGTCCTTCCTTGGAGGCAGAGATGCTTCAGAGGGATGAGTTTTTCAGCTAAACCTTTGGCTTTAGCTGTTTAGCTCTGGGCTTTGCAGTGTGATGTCTGTTAATGAGTTCACTGTGTTGGACTGTAGCATGGATCAGCATGAGCCAGTCGAAAATTGGGGTTTTGTGACTCCACGTGTGCAAGCCCCATGACACTGGGCAGCATTGAGTATCCTCACGGGCTTTTCCAAAACCCCACAGCGTTGTTAGGACTGCAGGCATTCCCCTTCATGTCATCTCAGTGTGTTGTGGCTATTTTTAGGTTTTGGGGTGGTTTTTGTTTTCCCTGAGAAGGTCAGCAGGCAGTGTGGTTTGGTTAGCAGCAGCTCAGGCTCTGCATTGTGGTGGCTCTTGTGCAATGGGAGCTCATGGGGGTGACTAACCCTGCTATTCAATAATGAAAAAAGCCTTACTCTGCTCTAATTATGCTGCATGATGTCAAAAAGATATTCTTCAGCTGTTACCAGATTCATGAAAGCCTGATTCATGGTAATCACAGGGAGAAAACAATCAGAGTCTGATTAGTTCAGAACTGACATGGTAAGGGAAGGAGAGAAAGATTTGAAAATTTACTTGGGCGTTGATTATAATTAGATTTGTGTGACTGTGTAGAAATGAGAAACAAGGAAGTGATACAGGCATATTTTCTAATTGCATGGAGGAGAGACATTCTTTTCAAGCAGTTTCTTGTGAATCCTTTGCTTTTCATGAGTGTAATTTCAAAATACTGACTCACAAGCAAAACCATCCGGTAGTTTCCACTTAAAGGAGACCTTGGAGTACTGATAATACCTGACAGTTAAGCTAATTGCAACCCCAGGGTTATACTGGGTCTCTAAAGGATCTTCCCGGATTCATTGCTGCCATGACTTTATTCATGCTTTGTATCCTGCCTTTGCTGGTCAGTTCTGCTCCCCAGCCTTCTTCAGGTGCTTGGGGGTGTCTGTGTGGGCTTGAGCAGCCAAGCAGTTCTGCAAAAGGCACCTTTTGTACTGCTGCAGTGTTCAGAGCCAGGGCAGGTGGGCTCAGGTGTGCTGGGCTGTGGTGGGTGTGCTCTCAGCACAGCCAGAAATGCTGCAGGAGCCTTGGGGTGCCAGGGAATTTCAGAGCAAGATTCCTCTCTCGTCTGCAATGTGCTTTAAAGAAGCAGGGGTGAGGCTAAGGAAAGGGCAGTGGGGAGAAACCCCATTAAATTTCAAAATTCTTCAATCTTGATGATGGAAGACAGTGTTCAGGCCTTTTTCTTTACAGACAGATTTCAAAATCTTTAGAATTTGGATTCCTTTTCCCCCAAACATAGGTGTTTTTTGTGCTACATTTTCGTGTGTTAGCCATGACTCATAGTGGACCAAATATTTCCGAAATTGATACTTAACTGAAATGCTCTTATTTCAAATCTGGTGGATCAAAGAGGCAGTGAAAAAGTGAGAAGAAAAAGTGTTTTCACATAAGTTTTTCATTTGTTCCCAGATAATTGGATTCCTAAGATATCATACACTACAGAGGGGGGAAAAAAGCTACCAAACAGCTGAGTCCACCTTCAACAAAAGCTGGGACTTAGACCCAAGTTAAACATTAGCCTGCCTTGGGCACAAAGACCTGCTTATGGAGATAATGCCCAAATCACCATGTTCACTTGATTTTTGTAACCAAAGTAAGGAAGCTGCCTCCTAGTGATTTTCATACTGTGTGGAATCACTGAAAAGTTTCAGAAGCCCATACTGGTGTGGATAATAAGGCAATATCTCTTGGGTTGTAGTGGGTTGAATATTCAATATCACAAGATTTTTGTATTTTTAATTAGACAACTGTTAGGTAATTTTCTCATGAATATTCAAACATGAGACTTCATAGCTATTTGCTGAAAATACTTGAGGAACACTCATAATTGATGTGCAGGGACAGGGAAATGGAAAGTTTCTCAGCAGTGTTTTCTTACTTCTTTTATTATTGTTTTTCCAATTATTTGCATGGTTTTGAAAACACTGTGTGTTTTGAAACGTATTTCATGTGTCTAGAAATAGCAGCCATTGTGCAATTACATTTTTTTTACTTGTTTTTATGGAAAAGGAAAAGAAACATTAGAAATCTGTTTGTGTAGTACATTACAAAGACTTGTAACAAACAGGTTTCAAAAACATCCTGGGAAGTTTCAATGATTAGCTTAATATATTCCATAAAAATCAGTGGTGACCAGGAGGAGCTACTGCAAGGAGCCTGGGTAATACTGTATACCTAGGAATGCTTCAGAGCTTGTAAATATATAGCCCAGGCAGTTAAAAAATAATAATTTGCATGTTACACATATTGCAAAATAATGTTGTGTGATAACATTTTTTAAGAGAAATACAGGTTTATTATATCTGTATTTTCCTGTGCAATCCGTTCCTAATCAACTGGTGGAATGAAATAATATTTCACACACTTAAATACCCCAGAAACAAATAATTCTTCCATACTGGCATGCATTCCATAATAAGCATCAAAGCTCTGCATGTAGCAGACTGACTTCAGCACCCAAAGTGGGGTTTACAAGAATCATTTGCTATCAGAGGGAATTTATTTATGTCTTATCATAGGCGGTGAATCAGGCAGCAGGTATTTGGGGTTTTTTAAGTTGTCTCCTTTACCAGGAGGAATAAAGGGAGTTCAGGGATTTCTTTGACGCAGTTCTGTTTGAATATATGAATATAAGAATATAATGAATATAAGATCTGGTGTTCCTGGGGGCAGCAGGAAGCAGGTACAGGATGACAGTTTTGCAATGCTAGCCAAGCATTCTCATGCTGTTATTAGATTTAAAAATCAATCCTCTCAAGGTCTTGCTGTGATTTGAGGCTCTGCTAGGAGAGTCTGCTCCTGGTTTAACTGTAGGGCTGATCTAAGGATTTGTCTGACTGCATGATGATCTACACCATGGAAATGATCCAGGATGGGACTGCTGCATTGAAGTATAATCTTAAATTTTCTGAAAGTCCTTCAGTGATAAAATTAGGACATTCATTGCAGCCCTCCCATTAAAGGAAACATGGTTATTGTGGTTGATAAGTTCCTTGTCAGCTGAATTGAAGGGATGGCGTTTGGGGGGGATGGACCCTTGCACCTTCCAAGTAAATGGTTTATAACTTGTTTCCTCCTATGTCTTCACTCTTAGATAAGAAAGCTAAAACCTCGTGGCAGAAAAGTAGGTTAAGTCAATCCCAGTTCCTTGAAGCTGTTGAATCTTTTAAAATATTTTCCTGTTATGGAAAATGTTTTCTTGTAAAAGGAGCTAAGGAACACGATGTCTGGTTTGTGCAGTGTGGGTTTTTTCCCCTTTTCCTTTCTTGTTCAGCTGGGGAAATCACTCCTGTGTTCTCAGCCTTTATTTCATTAAGATGTTTTTTAGCTCAGGGGCTTTTTTTTGTGGAGGTGTTCCAGTGTGTTTTTCTGTTCAAGCCATGATGCTGTTGGCATAGGAAATGCACATCCTGCTGCTCTGAAGGGAAAAGTAAAGAATAAATGGTGGAAAACAGCAACACATCTTTCAGATATTAAGTGATTTGTTCATGGCTGCTACCAGTTGTGTTTTACAAGTCTAAAAAAAATTCCACTGAAGACTTTATAGCAAAACCAACTCTAGTCTATTCTAACTCATGCTCCAGGAAGCACATGGAATATACATCTGCTTGCTGATAGTCTGGGTTGGGATGAATGTGTTTCTAATATTCTAGACACTCTTCAGAGTAAAGGTGAACATTAATATTTATATATTTAAAAGGTAAAATCCTGGTATTTGTTTTTACCCTATTTTTTGGGAATGTAATTGGTAATTTTACAACATCTTAATTCAGAATATTGTCCTATGCAGTTAATAGTATTATTTAATTCATAGGCAGGAATTCATAATGAAGTAATTTAGCTTCTTTTTGATAACGTAGCATGAAAAATTTTTATAGGTTTTCAGGAGATCTTGATTAAGTTGTGCTGGCATATAATGAGCAGTACTTAATGCAAATTAAAGAGATGTTTTGGCTGCTTGTTGTGCTTAGTTTTCAGGTAATACATTTTGAAAAAAATACCAACAGCTGGAAGCTTGCATAGTAGATTAAAAGCGATTTAATGGGCCTGCTTAACGTGTGAGATGGAATTTATTGGAATTGGTGGATATATAGGACCTTTAAAAGTTTATTTGGTGACACAGTGAAGGAGTTTCCTCACCATGCAACTGCTGTATGGTTAATAGCCACCAGAAGCATTTTTGGGAAAATAACCTTTAAAACTTTCTCAATAACAGCTATGAAGAAAAAATGTCAAAGTTAAAATGAAAAAAAAAAAAAAAACCCAAACAAAAAAACTTGGATGGAAATTGAAATCTCTTTTGCACACTCATTCCACTGACCTCCTGATGGTCCATGCAAGCTGTAACATATTCAGGAGTTCTCTGTCTTCTGCTGTGGGCTTTGATGTCAGGTTGCTGAATATCAGAAAAATCCATACTACAGTGAGCTGAACTTGATCTGCACAAGGCCTTGAGTTTTAATGCTGTTGACTTGTTTCAAAGAGGGGAAAGAAAAAGGCAGTGATCTGAAACCAGCCTTTTGGATACTGGGAGAAACAAAGAACTCTCATTTTTCAGGTTGATTAACAGTTTGGTTTTGTTTATCTGTCTCCTAACAGATTTACACGGATTGGGCAAATCACTATCTAGCAAAATCTGGTCACAAGAGATTGATAAAGGATCTACAGCAAGATGTGACTGATGGAGTCCTGCTAGCCGAAATAATCGAAGTTGTAGGTGAGTGACTTTCTGTGTTTGTGCCAAGTATCCACCAGCTCAGTCAGACAATCCCTGTTTTTATCTTCTGCACTAACACAGAGTGCATGGGGGGCTATCCATCAAACTGCATGGAATCATGTAGAGATTTTTCCTTTGGAGGCTTTGGTAATTAATTTGAAAAAACCTTGTCTTATAGTGGAAAAATACTGGATGTTGCTGATAAGATCTCCTGACACAGCAGTATTACTCCACATGACTGAATGTTCAAAAAAAACCACTCATGAGATATTTTTTTTTTCAGCTAGGATGCTGTTAGCCCTCACTATTTCTGATACCTCTTGGGTGCTGGTCTGAATATAATTCACAGTGATGCTGCCTCCTGCGTTGAACCTCCTGCCTTCAGTGGGATTTGGAAGATCCATATTTACAGCTGGGAAAGGAGAAAGGGTGTAATTTTTGTGTGGCAGAAAAAGAAATCTTTCATAACGAGTTTTCAGATGAGGAAAATCCCTTACCATTAGGACAGATCTCAAGTGCAGGCTCAGTTATTTTATCCAAAGCCTTTATTTCAGTTAAATTAGAGCATTAATGCTCGTGGATAATGAAACTTCTGAACAGTTTTCTCTGTGCAGAGCTGCATATTGTCCCTCTTCCCTTGGGCCTGGGTCCTTCATTAGTTCCTTCAGAGGCTCATCCATCTGGTGCTGGGGATGCCACAAAACACTGCACGGGCCCGATGGAGATGGATGGAATGGGAAAGCCTGCTAATGGGAATTAGGACAACCATTGTTAGGAGCAAACTGACAGATCTGAGATGCAAATTAAGAAGCCAGCAGTGAAGGAGCAGGACGTCATTGCATGCATATTTATTATGTGTGTTGGAGATGCTGTAAGGGGGCTAGCTCTGGCTTTGAGGTGGGATCTGCAAGCCCTGGTCTGGGATGACACTGTGAAACATCTTCCAGTGATTCGACTGGGATATGTTAAAAAAGATTTTGTCTCTCTGCTGGAGGGCAGCACTAAATCTCAGCAGCACTGTAGACCTGCTGTGCACTTAGAGAGGTGTGAAAACAGGCAGTAATTGATGGCTGTGTGTTGACAGCAGTTACTCACTATGAACAATGCTCCTTCCTATGTCTCTTTTCTTTAATAGGAAAGGTTTTTGGAAAACCAGGGGCAGGTAGGTGTTGATTCCTTCATGCCTGTGTGGCTACTCTGCCATAACACAGTTGTAGGAAACTTCTGCATGAGAACACATGTGCAAGGATATCAAAATGTGGACTTGGTTCCTTCTACCAAATATTTAAATGTAGCTCTTTGAGTATTGACTTGTGAAAGCCCTTATGAAATTCAAATTATTCCTTCTAAAATACATAACCAATTATTGCTTTGATCACCTTTGCAGGTTTTTTTTTGGTCATTTTTATGGCTGCCTTTTGGCTAGTTTTTAAGATAAGGTCTGCAGGGTTTTGAAAGTTGAAGTATGAGGGAAAGGATTTCTTTTTTGAAGAACCTTTTTCATGCGAAAGAAAGGTCATATTTAAACATTCTGAGTTTAGTCCAGCAAATTAATAGTGCAGAAAAGTGATTTCTTTCTGCTGTATATGGCTTTAGGCAGTTGCATCTCATTGTCACAAAGACGAGGAGGGCTTTCACACATAGAAGCAGCTTTTTCTGTAGCCTGCAAAATCCAAGCTTTTTTCCTAACTACATAGTAAGAAAGCTTTGATATGCAGTGCAGGAGAGGGGTTTTTCATATTATAGTGTGCTATGTGCAAAAGCAGCTATTTGCAAGTCAATTAAAATGCATTCACATCATTCTGGTTCATTTCAGTTCAAAATTTATGAGCCTGCAAAAGAATATGTAAGTGCTATATGCCTTAGTAATGCCATATAAACATAGTAGCTGTGTTTAAATCCATGAATGCAGACACACTGGGTGTGACCTGGGTTCTTGGAGGTGTCTCTGTACATATGTCCCAAACAAGATGCAGCTCCTTCACAAGTTCATTAGTCTGCTTTCAAGTAGTTATGAATGGTGCCAATTTATAGGAATACAGCTATTAATTTTTTAAAGTGTTAAAAATTCAATATTATGAGATGGGTGCACAGGACTTGGAAAATGGGATTTAATGAATTAATCTTTTTTTCTGTATGGCCAAATCCGAGCTGGCATTCCTGGAAGCAGTGTGGGCTTTTCCTGTGTGGAGGCTGATGGACCACTCTGGGGAGCACACTGTGAATTCAGCTGCAGTCTCTTTCACACTAGCATCAATTTCCCATTGCACTGTGTGCTGTGTCCTGGGTGTGTAAAATGGGAACTATCAGGCAGGAGTGAAGCTGTGTTACTACTTTCTCATGGCTATGACTGCTACTGGAATATTGTGCCAAATGGGATCCTCCTAACAGAGGGAGTCCATGAGGTGGATGGAGTTCTGATTGCTGTCCTGAGAATGAATGGGACTGCTAGAAAATACAGCTTTTAATGCCTGAATCAAATGGGATGCGAGTGCCTGCCTTTATTACAGTGAAAAAGCAGTGGGAAACTGAACTTTGGTTGTAACTGGTTCTTCAGACTCAAACACAAAGTCATTTCAGCATCCAAGGCTGAAAGGTGAAACAGAGCAAACGCAGACAAGGCAAACATTATCCACCTATGGATAATTTAATAGGGATTTCATTGTTTTACCTCTGACCTTAAAGATGGAAACTGTGCTCTTCTGCAAGCTGGGGTAGCATATAAGCCATGGTCAAGAATCTTGGAAAATTGTTTCATGATTTGTGCTTTAAAAAAGAAAGAAAAAAGCTATTATTAGTTATTGATCATAAATTTCCCATTTGGATTTAAAACCTGTATTCACTCTGCAGGCAAACCATCTGCCATGCTGACATCTCTATGTGTGTAGTGCTCACTTTTCCACCCGGCAGTGATGCAGCCTCCAGAGCTCACATCTTTCTTGCAGTTTAAAGGAATTCCCTGTCACTGTTCAAGGAGTTGTCAGAGCAGTTGGCTTCTGCCCCAGCTGTCTCTGCAGGCACGACCCACTAGAGAGCTCCAGCTGCTTTTTTTCTTTTTGTGGCTCCCAGCGTTTCACACATTCACTTGGACTGGACAGCTACAATCCAAAACCCCTTTACTGAGCTGGCAGCAGGTGCTCAGGAAATCTTTGCAATAAATGCCCTTGGTTTAGGTTTTCTGCTTTATTGCCTCTTTTTTTTTCTTTTTTTTGCCTTTCAGCAAATGAAAAGATTGAAGACATCAATGGCTGCCCAAAAAATAGGTCTCAAATGGTGAGTAGTAAAGTGGTCTGTTGTTTGTGTGTGAGTGGCTGAGTGACAGGGTGGGACTTCAATGTCTGAGACTTTTAGTAACCATTTTAAATTATTTTTTCACAATAGTGGACTAAAAGTATAATCTTCAGAACATGAATATTACAGTTCTTGCCCCACTGTACTCCACAGTAGTTGAATCAGTCCTTTTAATTTATCACATATTTACAATTGAGATTATTTTTACATTGCTACTTTATATTTCTGGAATATCACATAATTAAACAAAAATATATAGAAGACTTAGATATTTGAAAGTATAATTAAGAGTTTCTATATATTTTGAAATGAAACAAAGTAAATGAGCAATATGAATGAAATGAAAAAAATTCATATAATTCAGGATGCATTTTGTTGACAGATAAGAAGTTGGTTTGTATCTTGCTTGTATTTAATATTCAAATCTAGAGAGCCAAAAATCAGTCCAGAAAAATTAAAAGTATAATAATGCCCCAGGAATATATTTGCTGTGAGTATTGCTGAAGCTAAAGGTATAGCAGAATTTTATGAAGAACACAAATAATAAAAAACTTGTTTTTAAAATGCATTTAAATGAAGAGCTTTTAAAATTTATGGTACTTCAAACATGGTTACTTCCTTCTGTATCTTGAGAAAAAGTCATTTTGCAACATAAATTCCATTATCTTCCTTTGGCATTGCAAATGCTTGCTTTGAGACACTTGGATATCTATTCTCTGTGGGAAGGTTTTTTAATGTTTTTTTTTAATTTTATGAGTGTTCTGACTGCCCCTACTTCCATGGCTTCAACATGAGCACAGCCACTCATGTAGTAAAATGAAATAAAGATTTAAGGACAGCTTGACATCTTAAGTCAAAGCTCACACTCTGTTCTGCTCTTCTCCCTTTGCTTTTTGTTGTTTCTTAGAAGTTATCAATCTTGCTGAAACCACGGAGCAAGCACTCTGAAAAGAAACCATCAGGAAGATTTATCATTGCTCCTTTTTGCTGCTTTGAAGAGGGTGGTTGCTGTTCTTGCTGTAGCCACAGCAGCTGTCTGGAGTATAAATAATGAGGAAATTTTGACAATTACTATAATTTAATGTTCCACAAGTGTATCGTAAGGACTGAATTTCATTCAGGACTGGAGTCTGTAGCCAGCTCCAGGACGTTGCAGCTAAAAAAAGTCACTTCAAGTCATTATTCTCGATGAAGAGAAAGTGCTGCTCTGTTGGATAGTGGGATGCATGTTGCTTATGGAAGCTGGATCAAGTTATAAGCAGAGGCACGCAGGGGGCACGTGCTGGGTCAGGAATGCTGGACAGGGCTGGAAGGACACATTTGGTCTGTGCTGCCTCCTCTGATGTTCCTCCACTTGCTCTTTCAGGGGGCTGTGGTGGGTGGGACTGAACCCCCCGCTCACCAGACCTGCAGGCACAGCTGGGCATCCCCAGCAGTTTCCCTCATGTGAGAAAAATGAGAATGATGCTTATGGCTTGCTTTTATCAGGTGCACAGGGTTACAGAGCTGTTTGTTGTCTGACTATAAAAATAGTGCTGTTTCCCAGAGAAGCTGTGGCTGCCCCATCCCTGGAAGTGTTCAAGGCCAGGTTGGAGGGGGCTTGGAGCAACCTGGGGTAGTGAAAGATCTTTAAGGGTGCTTCCAACCCAAATCATCCCATGATTCTTCTAAGGCAGAACACAGGAATCTTCGTGGGGTGATGTTTGTGCAGTAGTTACTGGCAGTGTTTAGGGAGACAAGATAGATGTGTTGCAGTGCTTGTTTCAGGTACAGCAGTCTTCATCCTTTGCATTTCAGTGCACTCTATTAATGCAGCTTACAGGGTCCTGCAGAGTGTGGGAGCTGGTGTTTGTGTCTGGTAACTGGCTCAGAGAGGTGGCAGAGGCAAGGCCATCCAGACACTTAGGTAATGTCCACTCTTTTTGCAAATTAATCTTTCAGTTCAAAGTGTCCATATCAATATTAGAGTGCTTGAAAGGTGAGCAAACACAATGAGGAGATTTAGGGAGATGTAAAAAAAAAAAAAAAAAAAAGTAGCACCAGTAAATGGAGATTTAACTTTGCTCACTGTATAGAAATACAGATCTCAGAGGGAAGGATGCCTTCTACCATCCCCTTTTCCCTTTGCAGAACCCCAGTGCCATGAGCAGACACATGGGAGCTGAGCTGTGAAGAATCAGCTCACTCCCAGCCAGGTGTATCAGCTTAGAAAGCTGGACCAAATCTGTCTTCCCAAATCATCAAAGAATGTGGGGAGAAGAAGTGTCTTGATTTCCACGTGGTACAGTCCCAAGCTGGTGGTGCCAAACCCGAGGGAGAGCCAGATCAGGTCTCCCTGCCTTGTTCCCTGTGTTGGAGAGCATCAGGCAAATTGGCCCAAAGTGAGCATCAGAGACAGCTTGGGTCTGTCAGGCTCCAAGCCACTGCTAATAAGCCTTGTCAAGTGAAGCTGAGTACTGCAGAACCATGTGGGACCATCAGTGCTCACCAAGCTGGTCCCAGTGCCAAAAATGACATGACAAGGACCCCACTAGCTCCATGAAAAATCTCTGAGGTGAGAACCTGTCCTCCCATCATCATCCTGTCTGGGTTGTTCTGCTGAGGGGAGTATCCCTGGCTTCCTTTGCTCCAGATAAGAGTTGGCTGGCTTTTATATCATCTGTTGTAGACTATTCTATAGCTTGTCCTCTGCATAAAATCGGTTTCAGGATTTTTCTGCCCCCAAACCTCTATATTTTTGTACTGTAGATATTTGTCTAAACAAAAGCCTGTAATTCTGGTGATTAGTTCCAGCTGCATGCAGAAAATACTATGGATAAGAGAGGATGAGCTTGTATGGAGCACAGGCTCTGGGACCAAGAACATTTGAAGAGCATTGCAGCATTTTGGTTTTTAAAAAAAAAAACCAACCCAGAAAATGTTGGCATAGTCCTTGGTAATTGAGTGAAGGCCAATAAATCAAGGCCAGTTTCCACTCCTGCACACTTCTGAAAAGAAGACTTAGGTGAATAAACCTGAGTAGGGCTATCTCTGCTAATATGGTTTGTTTATAGAAAAACAGAGATATTTTCCTTTTTTTTTTTTTCTTATTTGCTTCTTGTTTAGGGCACAATTTTAGAGTTTAACACGTGGCATCTTGCAGATTATGAGAGGTTAGTACCTGCCCTCCTAGGTACTACAGATCATTCTTATTCATGTGGGTGCCTTTGCACCACTTATATTTGTAAAATGCTAAACAAAACCCAAAGCATATGAGTTTTCTATGTTCCATTATATATGTATGAATATAGCAAAGCTGAAACGTGCTGAAAGGAAGAGATTTAGGGAACCTGTGGGTGGATACACCAGACTTTCATCCTCCCATGTCTGGGGAAGTTGTGGGACACCCAGGAGAAGAATTTTGGAGCAGCAGAAAGGCACGTAGGCTTAACAAACACCACAGCACCTCCTATAAATAGGGGAGAAAATTACTGTGGTTTGCATATGGGTTGGTGCTTGGGCTTTAATATTTTTCCAGGGTCACTTTGTGTCTATAAATATCTGTTCTCAAACAGCAAAAGGGAGGTATTTATTTTTTTAAATGTGTTGACAGGAAGTTTTTAAGAATCATCTCTTTCTGGTGCAGATACCAAGCTGTAGTGGTAAACTGATACCACTCAGTCTTCCTACTGCTGTTTGTCTTGCAAATAAAGGATCTTGTACTGACTGCAGTGTGGATCAGAGCCAGCATTTCTTCTCAAGAACTGTATGGAAGTTGGGATGAAGGTCATGTTTTCAGTACAATAACTTAGTTTTCAAGCAAACCTTACTTCCAGTGATGGGAATTGGGCTATTATTTTAATATTTGACTGATTTCTTGTGTTCTGATAATAATCTGTTTTGTAATGTGTATGACATCTAAGGAACAGTTTGTATGGAAATTTTCCAACATGGTGAGGACCTTGATTTTGACTTGGAACAGTACTGAGAATATTAATTCAGCTGTTGGAGACAGGTATCCACTCCCCTCCTCAGTGTGATTTGCCAGCTCCATAAATTATTTTTTTTATTGTCTAAAGAGCATAGGTGTTGAAATCTCCATTACTAATTTGTTTGTATGGCATGTGTCATCCATATTTCTGTGTTATTTTTCTCAAGGGCACTTTAATGAATTGATGTAATGGATGTGAGTGCTGCAATGATGTGGCTCATACTTACAAGAGCTGGTTGGAAGGAATAATACAAGCTGAAACCATCTGCATGATCCAAGCAGCTTTGTGTGTGTGTGTGTGCAATACCCACTAAGGGAGGGAGCTGCTGTGTTATGTACAAATAGCTAAAAACAGCTGCTGTATTAAAAAAAAAATATATTTGTTGCTTGTTTTCTCATGGAAAATAATTCTGTCTGTTCTTCGGGAGCAGACACCCACTTTAACCTACTCCTCTAAAAGTTTTGAGCAGTTTTATACAGCTGGTGTTGTCCAAACATTGCCACAGGAAAGTGCAATAAATCTGGCAGGCTGTTGCTGCAGCACCCCTGAGTCCCAAAGCCAAGGAGGGCTCTGCTGCTGGGGCATGTGCTGCTAATTCAGGGGAGCAGCCCTGCTGGGAGATCAAAAGCATCACAAGCACATTTTTTCTTTGTGAATTCCTAGCGTAGGATTTTTGGAAATGGATCCCAGGGGTTAGATATAGCTGTGTATTTTCAAGTAATCCAACTCCAAGGCTGAGCAAATGTAGTAAAGGGAACTTTCCCATCATCTGAGCCTTCTCCCACTTTGCCTGGGGAGCTTTTAACTTAGCAGGAGCTTATGTTTGGAAATTTAATCTGGTTTGATGCTACCATGGTAACAGATGGGTGTCTTCTGGCCCCAGCCTGTGGTGCAGTTCCAAAAGCTGAAGGTCATCTGAGGGGGAAGACATCCCCAAGGGTTGTGCCAGCCTGGCCAGTGACAGACACCAGCTTAGCTGCTGTGCCTACCTGTGCAGGGACATAGCCAAAC